CTTCAAACCGGCACTAGGAAACAGACTGAGAAACTAGAGTAAATATTTCTCCTGCAAACCGTCCCCTTTGTGCTAGATGAACGTACGTCTCACCACATGCTCATTTCAGAGAGATAAGTGTGTGTGGAAGCCGTCCTTCACCTAGCTTGTTGGGAACACAAAGTTTCTTTTCAGTTAGAAACTACACTACAAAAATATGCAAGGGGAGGTTCTAGCTCCAACTCTATTTTACAGTGAAAGCTATACAATCTTCAAACTGGCACTAGGAAACAGATGAAAATCCAGAGTAAGTCTTTTTCCTGCAACCCGTCCCCTTTGTGCAAGTGAACAAACGTCTCTGCACATGCTCTGTTCTGAGAGATAAGTGTGTGTGAAAGCCGATCTTCATCTAGCTTGTTGGGAACACAAAGTTTCTTTTCAGTTGGAAGCTACACTACATACATATATGTGGGCAGGTTCTAGCTCCAACTAGGTTTTACAGTGAAAACTGCATGGACTTCAAGCCAGCACTTGTAAACATACAGAGAATCGAGAGTAAATGTTTCTACTACAACCAATTCCCTTTGTGCTAGATCAGCGTACGTCTCTACACATGATTATTTCTGAGAGTTAATTCAGTTACAAATCCTTCAATCAGTTAGCTTGTTTGGAGCACACAGTTTCTTTTCAGTGGGAAACTGCACTACTTACTCTGGTTTCTCAGTATGTTTAATACTGCTGGTTTGTGTATTTTATGTATAAGTTTATGTAGTTTTCACTGTAAAATCGATTTGGAACTTGTAACTCCCCCTGTATATTTATGTAGTGTTATTCCTCACTGAAAACAAACTATGTGATCCTGAGATGCTTTGTGAGTTATGGCTTTCACACTCATTCAATATTAGGAACTAAGGATGTAGGGAGGGATTCTTTTATGTAGCATATAGAGAATGTTTTGTTGAAGATACACTTTCGTTTCTCAGTATCTTTCCAAGTGCCGGCTTGAAGTTAGTGAAGATTTCACTGTAAATGCGAGTTTGAGTTTGTACCTCCCCATATATATGTATGTAGTGTAGTTTCCCACTCAAAAGAAACCTTGATTTCCCAACAAGCCAAGTGATCCATGGCATTGACACAGAATTAACTCTCAGAATTGAGCATGTGGAGAGACGCTCGTTCATGTAGCATGAAGGGAATGATTTGCAGTAGAAATACTTATTCTAGTTTCTCAGTATGTTTCTTAGATTCTGTTTGAATTTAATGCAATTTTCACTGTAAAACCGAGTTTTAGCTCATATCTCCCTACATATATATATATCTAATGTATTTGCCCACTGAATTGAAACTGTGTGTCCCCAACAAGCTAGGTAATTAACGGCTTTCACACAAAATTATCTCTCAGAATTGAGCATGTGTAGAGACGTTCTTTCACACAGCATAAAAGAATGGGTTGCAGTAGAAACACTTACCGTGGTTTCTCAGTTTGTTTCCTAGTGCCAGTTTGATGTTCATGCAGTTTTCACTCTAAAAGGGTGTTGGAGAAAGAACCTCCCAATATATATGTATGTAGTATTGTTACACACTGAAAAGAATCTGTGTGTTCCCAACAAGCTAATTGATTGACGGCTTTCACACACAATTAACACTCAGAATTGAGCATGTGGAGAGACGTCCGTTCACATAGCATAAATGGAATGGATTGCAGAAGAAACACTTACTCTCTCTTTCCTACAGGCATTTTGAATTCATGCAGATTTCACTGTAAAACGGATTTGGAGCTATTACATCCCCATATATATGTGTATGTAATATAATTTCCCACTGTAAAGAAACTGTGTGTTCCCACCCAGGTAGGTGATTGACGGCATTCACACACACATAAATCTCAGAATTGAGCATGAGTAGAGACGTTCGTTCATCTAGCATAAAGGGAATGGTTTGCAGTAGAAACACTCTGTTTTCTCAGTATGTTTCCTAGTGCCATTTTGGAGTTCATGCAGTTTTCACTTAAAAATCGATTTAGGCTAGACCCCACCCCATATATATGTATGTAGTATACTATAGCATTGAAAAATAATTCTGTGTTCCCAACAAGCTAGGTGAATGACTGCATTCACGCGCACTTAACTCTCAGAATTCAACATGTGGATAGACGTTCGTTCGTCAAGCATAAACGGTAAGGGTAGCAGTAGAAACACTTACTCTGCTTTCTCAGTATATTTCCTAGCGCCGGTTTGAAATTGATGCAGTTTTCACAGTAAAACCGTGTTGGGGCTAGTACCTCCCCTTACAAAAGTAGGTTGTGTATTTTCCCCATGAAAAAAGATTGTGTTTCCCCAACAAGCTAGGTGATTGACGGCTTTCACACTCACTTACTCTCAGAATTGAGCATGTGAAGATACGTTCTTTCATCTAGTATAAAGAGAAGGGGTAGCACTTGAAATAATTACTCTGCTTTCTCAGTATGTTTCCTCGAGCCAGATTGAAGTTAATGCAGTAATCACTGTAAAACCGAGTTGGAGCTAGTACCTCCCCATATATATTTATTAGGGCAAATACCAACTTAAAAGAAACTGTGTTTTCCCAACTAGTTATGTGATTGACGGTTTTCACACACATTCAACTTTCAGAATTGAGCATGTGTGGAGGCATTCGTTCATCTAGTTTAAAGGGAATGGCGAGCAGTAAAAGGAATTATTCTGGTTTCCCAGTATGTTTCTTTGTGTCGGTTTGAATTTCATGCAGTTTTCAGTGTAAAACCGAGTTGGAACTTGGACCTCCCCATATATATGTATGTTGTGTGTTTTCCCACTCTAATGAAAATGTGTTTTCCTTTGAAGGTAAGTGATAGATGGCTTTTACACACATTCAATATTCAAAACTGAGCATGTAGAGTGGTGTTCTTTCAACTAGCATAAAGGGAATGATTTGCAGTAGAAACACTTACTCTGTTTTCTCTGTATGTTTTCTAGTTCGAGTTTGAAGTTCATGCAGTTTTCACTGTAAAACCGAGTTCGGGTTAGTACCTCCCAATATATATGTATGTATTGTTGTTTTCCAGTAGAAAGAAACTATGTGTTCCCAACAAGCTAGGTGACTCACGGATGTCACACAAACTTTAATCTCAGAGGTCAGCATGTGGACAGACGTCCATTCATCTAGCAGAAAGGGAATGGGTTGCAGTAGAAACACTTACTCTGGTTTCTCAGTATGTTTCCTTGTGCCTGTTTGAAGTTCATGCATTTTTCACTGTAAATCCGATTTGAGCTAGTACCCCCCATGTATATGTATGTAGTTTCCCACTGAAAAGAAACTGTGTTCCCTACAAGCTATGTGATTAACGGCTTCCACACACACTTAACTCTCAGAACTGAGCAAGTGGAGAGACGATTTTTCATATAGCATAAAGAGAATAGATAGCAGTAAAAACCCTTACTCTCGTTTCACTGTATGTTTAATACTGTCGGTTTGAAGTTCATTATGTTTTCACTGTAAAACCGAGTTGGAGCTAGTAACTCCCCATATATAGGTATTTAGTGTTGTTTCCCACTGAAAAGAATTTATGTGTTACCAAAAAGTTAGCTGGCTAATGGCTTTCACACACATTTAGCTCTCAGAATTGCACATGAGTAGAGACGTTCATTCATATAGCATAAAGGGAATAGTTAGCAATAGAAACACTTACTCAGGTTTCTCAGTATATTTACTAGTGCCTGTCTGAACTTCATGCAGTTTCCACTTTTGAACCCACTTGGAACTAGTACCTCCCAATTTATGTGTATGTAGTGTACTTCCCCCAATCAAAAGTAACTGTGTGTTCCCTAAAAGCTAAGTGATAGATGGCTTTTGCAGAGTTAGCTCTCAGAACTGAGCATGGGGTGAAGCGTTATTTCATCTT